CATGGTTGGGCAGAGCTCATCGCGGTGAATAAGAGTATGTGTTTTAGCCCTATACATTTTTCAAGGCGAAAATTTGGGAAAAATGCTAAAATTTTCGAAGATATTAAGAAAAGCTAAATAAAGCGTAAAATCGAATGTAGACTCGATCTCAGTACTCATTTATCTAAACAAACTCTATTTTAGTTTAGAATACTATAGTAGAATATTTTTCTGCTTGTGTTCTAAAAGAATAAAGCTTATATCAACAGTTAAACAAAAAAATACCATGACGAAGCGGTGGTTGGATGAAAACATATCCGAACAACTTTTTAACTTCAGTGATAACAAGCAAGTGACGATAATGAATATATGGATTTTAGCCATGAAATTGAAATCGATTTCACAGATAAAACCACGTTAGACGACACTAGTGATCTAGCCTACCTGTGTAAAGAAAAATGTGATATGAAATATTTAAGTGTGCTACACTATTTCACAACAAGACATTTCAGAATTTCTTAGCTAAATATGGATCTATTGTTAACACGTATTGGATTCCTCACGTCTCAAAACACGTCACAAGTGGGCGTAGGCGATTTCGAAAGGCGATGAATTTATGAAGGGCGATTGTGGCGTCAAACGATTATCAATGAAATGTGAGATTCATTCTGTCCGAGTCACAGACGTAAGAACCAATCATAAAAGGGCTTTCCTACGGCAAACCATTGCATTTCTTGATCGAACGCCTTATTACGAAACGCCGATCGATGATTGATTAGACAAGAGTAGAAACATAATAGTTACAATATTGTTCTGGTAACACCGCAGTAAAATCCTTTCCAGATGCGTCTTAGAGAAAAAACTGCTTTTGTTAGGGATCTCTACAAATAATTCCTTTTGTTATTAAATATATCAAAGACATTCGACATTTCTAATTTGCATCGTTATAGCACATTACTCTCAGTATCTGTTTCACTTCTACCTACACACCATAGGCTTCTTTTTGGTCTTTTTTGTTGTTTTTTATTCTGTGCTTGTAACATAATCTCAAGGCGCAAAACTGATATTATGGGCTTCTATCTTTTCTGTTCTATTTATCAGTAAATAAAGTTTACAATAGGTAAACTTTAAAAACGTCAGATCTTTTCGTGTATGTGATGACAGGTATATAATTGACAAGAAAAATCTATATGGTTAAGTGACAAATTTTTGTTCTGTGCTTGGAAACATAGTCCATTTGTGTTACGGAAAGAAGAAATTTTTGCTTGCTGTTCGAGAAGATATTAGCTTCTTTATTTTAGTCGATGCTGTGTGTGATTTTTTTATGCTTCCTTAAGAGATTTACTAGCTAGTCAGCAGTCACTGGTTCATTTTCTGAAATTCATGTTATCATGGGTTTGGTGAGCTCGTATTCTTATTTTAAGGGTTTTATAACTTGAAAAGTTTACCTTAAAAAAATGAAAGCGTAGAAGGTAAGCGTTTTTCGTTAAAAATGACCGGCGGCATAAGATATGGAGACGCACATGCGTAATGGCGTGAAGAATATAAGAAAAACAACGAAAAAAATGGCAAACCTTCCATTTATTATCCTCGTCATAATAGAATTCTGACGACCTCCATGTCTTTACACAAATGGAAAATGTCAGAACGATTTTTTTGAGACACTGAACACAGAAAATTAACGAACTTATCTTCAGATTGTATTAACAAGAATCTGAGCTCATAGAGAGTTGATGAAATTATGTGACCGCCACTGTTTACACTAGTTAGCAAAGCGATGAGTCATGCCGGCCACAACATCGACTATTTGTTGAGATTCAATAGGTAGTGCGTTCCATTGTTTTACAAGCCAATAAAAGACAGTATATCTAACTTTTACATCGTTTATTCGGTTAAAATGAGTTTTCAGATTGAAATTAGAACATTTTTCTATCAAATAAAAAAGCGGTGAGCTGTTTCAATTAAAGAAATATTTCAATTTTTTATCCAGTAGTGACTTTTAATACACTGTGTATTTCCACTCTTTGACTAGTTTTTCTGTCAGTTATAGGTGATATTTGACTGGTAATACTAGCGCTATGACCACTGAGAGCGTAAAGAAAATAGTCCAGGAATTCGAGGTATTAATAGCATCAATACCGTGTTCTGAACCAAGGGCATTTTTAGAAGATGCACTCAAAAGTTTCCGCCAATAAAACTTGACTACATGAAAAATATCAGATAACTGAAACAAGTGGTTACGAAGAACAACGATGAAAGAGTCAAACAATCGTGTGATGAATTGATAAAATATTGTGATTCATTAGAAACTGACGATCTTCTGGAGTTGTTAAATTTTGTGCGTGCAGCTATTGTGGTACTATTGAGTATTGTGTTACTTGAGCATGAATATGGTGACGCATTAGATCAGTTATCATGGTTATTACATACACGAGTGTTAAAGAGCATAGTCACCCCTCTATACAAAAGCTGTGAGAAAAAACTGAGATCTGAAACATTCTGTTCATTTATTCGACAGCTCAGTTCGTCTTCCATAAGCAGATATTTAGAAGATCAAATTACAAATTGAAAACAGTAAATTTCGTGTACGATTATTTTTACGATAATTAATTGTTCACGCGATTCATCATAAATGTGTAAAACTGATCTGGATAAATATATTTTACTATTTCAAGTATTACTACGATATATTAATCGATATTAAAACTCAGACGCACGATTCATGCAAGTTAATATTAAATTAATTCTAAAACTAATCTGGAGTCTTGTTGATCAGACAATGTTGATTCTATTTTTCGTCGATATCGATTTACTTAAAGCTGTTCAGAACTGGATGCCACAATCAAAAACAAAACCGCATGGTACTCTTCTCTTAATCAATATACTACACAATATAGCACGTCATGACGCGGGTGCAGAAAAGTTGAATAATTACGGTGCGATTCTTGTTTTGGAGGCGTACAAAAAACAAAAATTGAAAAATAAACTAACTGAACGCGATCTTGCTCAGTTCAATCTAATCTATTCCATGTCAACACTACTTTTATTGTGACCAAACGAAGTAAAATCAAACGCTCAAACGACAGGAAATATCCTTGATCAACTTATAGAACTTGTAGTAAAAGCGTCACAGACCAATGACTGGAAATGTGATTTAGTTGGTTTGACATTTCATATAACGGAATCACTAGTTGTTTTAACAAAATTATTTGTTAACGATGATGTAGTCGATTATGTTTTGAAGCACACTCAATCAGATATAAGTTTTTTTGCCAATTTGCTATTGCGTTCGATCAGCAATATAGACAGGGATGAAGATGAATGTTTGAAACTAACTCAAATAACGTTATTCAAGATTGTCTGAAGCATATCATTCAGTGAAAAATACAACAATGAACTGAAACTACATAAAAAATTAATTGTTCGAGTTAAGGAAGTAGCTGAAAAATATCATAGTGCTGAAATCATCGAACACTATGTACCAAAACATTTTCTGAATATTAAAAAGCCAGCCGACAGTATATTATTTAATCTAAAGACTAAATATGATACTGCCGCAGCAGTTAGAAAATCAAATAAAAACCTCAAGCCACTTATTATGATTAGTTATCCGCATACCGAGAGGAGTTTTTGTACCGAGTTAGTTAATCGATTAACCGCAGAAGAAAATATTGATGTATGGACAGACTTTATTCACAAAGAGATAATAATGAAGTCTTTCACTCATACGATTTATGGGAACAAATAGCTCACGCTATCGAGAAAGCGAACGTTGTTTTATTAATCATGACTGAGAATTATTATAAAAGTAAATCTTGCCGTCAAGAAGTAGCCTATGCAAATAACTCATTAAATAAACGAATCATTCCTATTTATCCATACAACAATTACATCGCAACTAGATGGCTTGGTGTGAGAATCGCTCCTCTTACTTACATTCACTTTGGGCGAAAAACATTTAGTTGTGCAATGAAAGAGTTGATTAATGCGGTTATGGAATAACAATCAATGGGAGCGTGCAAAGTTGCAAACGACAAAGATATTACATCCATAAAAGTAATCGAATCAACAATCACAGGGTTACCACGGGCAAATATATCTGTTCGAAAGTGGTTAGTTGATGATGTTGCTTCGTGGTTTTATAAAAATCGAATGTTTTCTGAATTATGTATATTATATGATTTTCAATCAGGTTCAGAGCTATTGGATTACAGTAACCATTTGAGAAGGAATTTTGATCAGGAGCAAAATGAAACTCGGAAACGTTTCGAAAAGAAATTTGGAGAATCGCTGAGTACCGCTCAATTTCGATTTAAAGAATCTTTATACCGATTGCGAGAGAAGCAAGGTTGTTTACAACGTTCTTATGAAGTGTCTTAAATGCTGTCGTGAAAGCTCCGGAGCAGGACCGGGCAACTCCAATTGCATTGAGTGGCTGTATTCACGAGTGAATTCGGAAGTTCTTTGTGCTTTCCGGCCGCAAAAAGCCCCAAAACACCCAAATCCTGCTAAAAACCGAAAACTCTTCCTTGCAAAAGCGAAGCAACCGGAGTTGAACGGGAGTTGAGATTTTTATTGACGGAGCTGGAGTTGAAAGTCAGCGGAGTTACCCAGTCCTGCTCCGGAGCCAAGGATCCGCTGAAGTCTGCTACATAATGATCTCATCAAAACCTCATCCAATCGGGCTGAGACGTTTGGATGAAGCGGTAGAAAGCAGACATTGGACTCTTGGACTGCGATGAGTTTCGTTTTTCTACGATGTTCAGTTCGCGAGATGTGGTTGTTTTACGTCGAAAATGTCCACTGGGGTTTTCTTTGTATATTTCAGTGAAAATTGAGTTAATAGCTTTTAGAGGATACATCGACAGCTCCACGAGTCGACATAACCTATATAAAGTGGGGATCCGCATACGATTAGGAATCGGCTCACTCTCTGTTTCAAGCAAAAATGATCTCGTATGTACTAAAAAAAGGATTCCTATTCGATTTCAGGTAAAATCGGATGCTTTTGTTCCCGAAAATCACTTTAATTCTTCGGCAATATCATCCCAATCGGCACCCCTAAGATCACGTAAAAATCATACGTAAAAGCTCTTTTTCTCACACTTCATACACCTACACAGCAAAGTAACTATACTGTTGGATAGCCCTTGACATTCTCTACAAACTGACCTAGTCAGAATATCTTGGCTAGTGGGGTCGGCACAGTATGCATCCAGGCGGACATTACATAAAATAATGGAAATCAATTTTTAAACGATTCAAATAGTGAACAATATACTTAACGATATGCTGTATCTGATGGCATAAAAAGTGTTGTTAAAAAGTTTTGGAGCACGGGGAAACAGCTACGCCTGCAATTAGTAATATTGGTAAAAAGGTTAAGTTTACCCAAAAATGAAGACTCCGGTAATCAAACGGGCTGTGAATTATGAATCTCCACAACATTTAGTATATACAAACTAAAAAAAGTTCGTTTCATACGTTGAAGATTGTTGAAAAAAATAATAAAACTTTTTTCTAGATGGTTTTCTATACTGCTACTTTTAGTAAAATGAGCACCCTCTGCACATTCCAAGGTAAAACTCGTTCACACTTTCAGAGAATGCTCTTCTATATGTCTTCCATCTATAATAAATGCGCAAAAATGTGAAAATGTTTCTAAACCTTATGGCAGGTTTTTCAAAAATACTGGATTTCTTTTTCAAGGTCTTTTCCATTTTTCTCGGCTCAGAAATGTTCTTATTCAATAAAACTGACATATTCAGAATCAGCGCAAGAAACTGCATTGAATGATAGGCGATTAGAAGGTTATTCTGAGGAAAAACTAGTTGGATCTAACGAAACACTAAAGTCGAAGCACAGTCACAAGGTCATAGTCATAATTTTGATATCTGCTATAGAAGTAGTCTGACAGTCTAACAACGTTTTATAGATTTTCAGATATTACTTTTCCAATGATACGCTTTAAAAAGTTCTAGAATACTTATGTAATGTTTTACTCGAGACCCGGTCTCTTGAGAACCCAGATGAAGTCTCTTTGAGCTTTGGAAAACGCATTGGAGAGAGCATATCTGAAAACCTATAAAAAAATGTATATAGACTTTCGCTTCTGCAGCACATGTCTGCCTGGCGTATGGAAAATGCACACTGTGACGTTTCCTAGGAAACCCACTTCTGAGCATTTTGGACAAAAGTGTCCGCTAGACAAAAGAAAGAGCGTGATCTGCAACCCTTGTACTAGATAGTGTTAGAATCGGTTGAGACTGAAAAAAGTTAGCCCATATCAACTTTCTCATGTTACACGCCTATTATTATTAAATTATCACATACAAAATTCATTAGACGAGCACAAATTAAATAAGAGTTACGCGCACAAACTAAAAGTACTTCTTCATAAAATTATTGCATCCAGAATTGCGTCATCTTCATTCATATACGTTAATTTTTCAGGTGAGTTTGTTATGTCAGTCGCCACTGATATTCTTTCCTCTTCCTCTTTTCTGTTCTGATGACAACAAAGAATGTTGACTGAGTCAACATTCTTTCTTCATCTGTTTTCATCTCTCATGACCACCAAGAATGTTGACTCAGTTCTGGTTGAGTCAACATTCTTTCTTAATATATATATACAGTGTTTGTTTGTACAGAGGGAAGTTTTTGGTTTTAACGTTTTGTGATTTTATTCTTACGAATAAAGTTTGTGCGGGCTAACAAGTTTCGAGTCGAACAAGTTGTACCGACAATGTAATAAATAACTGGATCGGGTCTGATAAATAAATGGTTGAAGACGTCCGTCAGGTTCTCGATATGCCCCATTTTCCGAGCCATAAATTCACAACAATTTGGTACGTCCTTATTAGTCATAGTACATTTTGTAGGAACTGATCGGGGCAAATCCTAAAATCGGAGAAAGGTCTCGAAATTTTTCCTTGATTGGAGCATAAAAATATTATAATACAGTATGCTTTTGGACATTTTCTTCTTCCCATCTCAGGCGAAGGAGGAAAAATCTCAGGCTTTGGCTAACCATAACGCTACCCTTTTTTGTTTATTTTTGTTTTGCTTCTTTCTATAACCAACCATAAAATGGAATAACTCCTTCTCTTATGTCGCTAGCTACACTGACTCTGTCAACGTCCTTTATGGAAGCTCTCATAGCCTAACGTTTAACATAAGTGAAAAACTATTACTTTTTAATTTTACCTAAACGCTCACATTTTACACAAATTTTCCTCGATTTTAAGAGAAAGTCTAGATAATTAAAAGAAATCTCCGTAAAAACCTTCCTTGAAATCGGAGAAAAAATTTTCAAAAAGTATGGGAAGGGTTATCCTCACATACCCCTTGATCGCGCTACTACTGTAAGGAAGACAGACTGGAAAAAATTGCTGAACGTTTATGTAACTTTGAACCAACATTCAATTCAAAATGAAAAATTTGGATGAAACATAAAATTGGTTGATCGATTCATTAGAAACACTCAACATATACTTTCGTGATGAACGTTTCTATTTTATTTATTGCAGCTAAATCCATTATAAGTTATATAATAAACTTATGTAATTTTTATTAATTAATCTGAGCTTTCAAATCGTCGATTTATCATTAGTGTAAAAAATTAATAATATTTGTAATATTAGAACTGCACAATCAGTAAAACATAATATGCTTTAGTGATTGAGCATTTAGTTCCGAAGTTCAGGCAAAGTATGCTATTAGAAGGCACAGCCAAATATTTATCGTCGGTTTTCTGCTCTTTTCGCCAACCCTGTCTCTCGTTTAGCTTGAATCAAAATGAATTCTGATCACTGTTTCTTCAAAGCGACTAGCCTTATTGAAGCAGTTTCCTCTTTTTTTGGTTTGTATGCTCAATAATTTCCATTTGACGTGATTTCTCTTTTGAATTGATTGCATTTTGTATTTTCAAACATCAATTTTATTTTAGTCCATGATGTTAATAAAATGACAGGGTAATGACAAAAGTTCAACAAAGAACTTGTCTAGGTCATCCCCAGTAAAAAACAAAACAAAAAAGAGATATAAAACAAAAACAGTTTGAACAGTAGAAAAAAATGGCACAGTAAATAGAATATGGCTTAGTATGTACTATTAACTACTGTAAGAAACAAGATGTTTCTTTAATGCACGTTTAAAAGCTCGAGCACTAAAGGCAGCAATCACTTCTCTTGGTAATTGATTCCACTCTTTTATAGTTTTTGGTAAAAATGAAGATCTAGTAGTTTTACGTTTTAACAAGGGAACCTGCCAGAGACATCGATTAGAGGTTCGCAAAGAAGTTCTAGTTGTAAGAGGCTGTACTAACGAAAAGCGCGAAAGTGCACTACGTCCTGAACAAAATCGCTATTGTATTGTATAGTAAAAGTAACAGCAGAAAGAAAATCGTATCTATAAATAGTAAGAAACGGAAACGGAGTAAGTATTTACTGGAGTGTAACTAATCGATCGTTCGATGTATAACATACACATTGATAATCAAGTTAATCTGTACTACCATACATTCAATGAAAAGTTGAGAACATGGCTAACGTTAGTTATTTCGAGTATTGTTACGATACTCCAGTTATGTAATACACATCCACCAGTCGCAGTTAACCACGATAATGATATCGTTATTACTGTTTCACAACGTATTGATCCTAAAAATAGCATAATAAAAGCATCTAAGTCTGGGCGATCCAAGATAGTCCTGCCCACAAGCACGATTCGCACGAATGTATCCGGCGCCATACTCCGCGTTCATTCCAGCCGCTACGGATCAATCCTTGTAGACGGAACAGGACACACGCTGTACTTATTCGGTCATGACAAGGCTGCCAATAGTACCTGTTACGGTGTCTGCGCTAAGTCATGGCCACCGTTCATTACGTACGGGAGGCCCCACGTGCAGCGCGATCTCGACTCTTCGACGCTTGGTACGACACTACGCAGGGGTGGTCTCCATCAAGTCACGTTCGCTGGATATCCCCTATACTTTTACTTCGCTGAACACAAAGCCGGTCAGATCCTCTGTCAAAATGTCGAGGAGTACGGTGGGCGATGGTTGATCGTCTCGTCGAGTGGGAATCCGATTCACTAATACATTTGCTGTGATTTTTGAAAGAGTGACGCTTTGGATGCTGCCCTAGCCGACTTTTTCGAAAAATAGCTACTCCTCGGACACTTCCCATGGAGTCATCCTCACCCTCTCTAGGCAGTCCGCGAACTGGTAACCAAACTTTACCAGGCAGGTATTAAACGATGGTACAGATTTGTTGATGATTCATTCACCATGGTTCATAAAAATGCATCATTATCCAAAATTCTAACTATTCTTAACTTATTAATAAAACACAAACTTTGAACCGATCACCGGACAATAGCACACAAACAGCAGAAAAAATAAAATATGCTTATGTGGTAGTCCCATATACTGGTCAACTCAGCTATACATCTATTAATAAATTACGTACATTCACAAAACAATATGATCCACAGAAAGTACTGCGTGCTGTCCTAAGACCGCCACCCGCAATCAAAAGTAATTATCAGATAAAAGATCCCATGTCACTTCAATTGCAGTCTGGTGTAGTCTATCATTTACAATGTAAAAATTGTTCAGATACTTACATTGGAAAAACCATACGACAAACTATTAGACGGTTTAAAGAGCATGGTGCACCAACTAACATAACGTCATCACATCTGCCAACCTCATCCTTACCGCCATCCACCATAACTAGTAATAATAATAATATTTTCATTCAAAATACAGCATTGAAAAATAAACTCCTTGATATAATCAATGATCCAGAAATAATACACTTAGACACACATGATCTTGGCATTAAAATAAATTCAATATCACCAACGACAAAATGATCAGAAGCAAATCCACCACCACCAATACCTAAATTATATTTCAATCAAAAACTTAAAATAATCGTAGCCAAACATCAAAATAATAATCATCATACAATAGACTGGACTAATTGGAAAAGATTATTCACTTATCGATTACTACTAAAAGAAGCTTTAGCTATCAAACACTTAAGCCCTAAACTAAATCTAAATGTTAGATCTGTCCCCTTACTCATCTATCCAGAAGGTATTCCAAAGAAGGAAGGTGGAAAACACAAAGAAAAAACGAAAAATCTACCATAGTAACAAAATAAACTTTCAGCACTCTGTTTTGAATCTACTCATTTTTCACTCTAATTTGTGTATTGAGTTACTCTTGATAATGAGTTCTAGTGAACTCGAAACGTCGATTCATTTTAATAAACAAAATATAGCCGTTGTAAAACAGTTACCAGTTTCTCATCTGCCCCTTACAAGAAATAAGTCCGCGAACTGTAAGGTGTACAACCTAGAAGTGAAAGTGCTCGCTGCGGTTAAACTAAACCTGTAGTGTGAGTTTACTTTGAAATCTGAGCGTATTTTGACTCTCGTTTAAACATAATCTCCTTTTAAGACTCTATAAAAACCCATAGTCTAATAAATTATTCCATTATTCCTTAAAGACATCGCTAAACTTCTAACTTAAATACTGAAAAGATTTATTAGCAAAATTAGAAATTTTCAGGATAGGTTGACAAAAAAAATACGCTGGAATAATCGGAAAAAACGCAGTTTAGTTATTAGATATTGTACATTTTGAGTTGTTTTCTCGAATTCATTTATTACGAACGGTATCAGCAACAGCACCACCTGTGAAACCTGTAAAATTTTGTCTTTGCTGACTTTTGGGTTTTCAGTTCAATGGTTTAGTTGGTGGTCCTGTTGGTGCTGTTCTGGGAGCCGCGTTAGAAACTAAACTTGGTTTCGCAGGTGGTGCTGTTGCTGATACCGTTCGTAATAAATGAATTCGAGAAAACAACTCAAAATGTACAATATCTAATAACTAAACTGCGTTTTTTCCGATTATTCCGATTATTTGTTGCAGAGTTTACTACGGTGTTTTTTTTTCCAAGAAAACACGAATCGCTGTAGTGTAAATGCATAAAGAGCCTTCAGTCATTACATCGACTAGTATCGCCAGTTATAAAAAAACACCCTTTTCGGTACAGTTTTCGTTGCTGAATCCAATGGCGAAAACCACAGCTCTCTAGCTATCTTGGAGAAAAGTTATATCCAAAATTCTAGCTGCTGAAAACTGGCTTTTTTCAGTTAAACGTCAAATTTGTAAAAGTTATATTTGATGAAAGACGTGTCGAATAACCTTGATTTCTGTACTTTTACTTCGCTGAACACAAAGCCGGTCAGATCCTCTGTCAAAATGTCGACGAGTACGGTGGGCGATGGTTGATCGTCTCGCCGAGTGAGAATCCGATTCACTGATACATTTGCTGTGATTTTTGAAGGAGTGACGCTATAAGTTTCGAGAGAAGATAAGAAAAACTCGGTTTTGTTAGTTTTTAGTCAGTTGTATTTTAAAGCAACCGTAATCTCTCTCTTTCTTGACTGAATCTCGTCTTTGAGTTAGAAATATTGTTCATGTTTACATGTTCATATTTTTCCGAGATATTTTATACGATGTATTGAATGGATGTCACGGTTACATTTTATATTAAAGTGCACAATTCTATTCACACGATGACTACATTTTTTGCGTGCTGTGTGAACTATACTTAGTATTGCTTGATCTTTTGATCTCGCAATTGACTAAGTGATTGCTTTTATTACAAATTCTTATTTGTGATCTTTATGATCATTTGAATGAAATTCTGTTATTGATTCGATCTAAGCCATCTGATGAGACCCTTGAGTAAGGCCGAAACCAGTCATGGCTTCTCTGAATCACCCTCACGCTCAAGAGGGGAGAGTGTTATGTCAAGACTATGATCTGCTGTCATATGGATGTTTGTTCTTCCTTTCTAGTTCCATTCGATCACTCGGGCTTGTTCTGTTCTTCGATTCCACGTGTTGAGTACTCAAGGCGATGGTATTGGTGAGAACGGGAATTATTTGGACGTTTGGATAGAGAGGAATGAATAGAGAGAAAAAGAGGAGTTAACAGAAGAAATATGTAACAAAAAACTGCAAATATAGCGTGATTGTTACTCTCGGTAATTCAAAACCTGAATACTCTTCGGTCAACCGCCCGTTTTCCATCTCTCTATATCGTATCACCTAAAATAATAATTGAATAAATATTTACATTTGTTTTCGAAATCGACTACCTTATTCGATTTTACATGCGCATAAACCAGTATGACCACTGGAAGTATCAGCAGTACCACGAGTAACAGTGTAAACACCACGACCATAACGACCACCATGATCATCACGAGTAGAAGTAGTACCAGTAGTATCCCAACCAGTAGCACGACCATGATTATAAACATAAGTACGAGTAGAACCACCACCATCAGGATGACCATCAGTATCAGTACGAGTAGTACCAGAACAAGTCGCATCAGAACGTTTCTGCCAACGGCTGCCGCTGCGATACCAATCACGGCACTTGTCACACGTGGGACAAGCATTGCCACCACAAGATTCAACTTTCTTTGTAGCCGGCGATGGAACTTCTAAATGAAAGATATAATCTTTTAGATCACTTCGAATAGGCAAGTTCATTTACTAGAGTTTGGACAAGGGTATGAATATGGTGATTGGAGTTTTTTTAGAATAGATTACAAAGTTAGAAATCTATTCTGAAAGAGCACAAATTTCTGATTATTAACTACGTTCATATGAGAGAGATATGAAAAAGTATTTTGTCTGAACACTTTTGCAACAGGAATTGCACCAATATGTGTGCTACTTGCGGAATTTAATCGCAAAAAGTACATTGTTCTTTTCCTTGAAAATGGTGCACTGATACAGGCGTCACTGAATATTTTTCAATAACCTTGAAAATCTAAAGATTCACTTTTCCTCATTGTCTAAACGAAGACTCTCCCCATTTTTATCGTGTTTCTTGACATGATCAAAAGCACCATGTTAACATGTTTGTCACGGTTTGCGCAGCGGGAGTATGTGATTCGTTCTTCGCGCTGTGCACTTCCACGCTGATAAGGTGGGTGGCATGGTTGACGATGTGGATTGCTGTGTGGGTATCCACAGCCAACCACCCCACCCTAGAGTTTCACCAGCATTTATCCAAATAAAATTGAAAGACAAAGTTCACGAAGAACATGTGATTGAACATTCAAGAAAAGCAAAACTCTCAGATGATGCATGTTCACGTGATGAAACATGTCGAATTGGCTCTAGCAATATTCACTAAAAACGACGAAAAAACTTTATTTCGAGTATTCATTCAATAGCCTGCTCTGAAATCTATCGTAAGTGTTGTAACTGGAAAATTCAGTCGGTTTGAAAATTAATATTTCTCTATATAATTACGTAATAGGGTATTTTACGTTGATCCTAGTGAAAGTCAAGAAAAGGTTTATCATGGAAGATGAAGAAGCATCTCTCTTTCTCTGTTCGCTGATCACTTTCGCGCCTTTTTTTAGTTTCTCGCTGATTCGAATATCGAGCCTGGTAAATTATTCATTCTGTTTCTCTGCCTGTCTGTCTAAAACACGATTTTGGAACCCCGATCTGTTTCTGGGTTGATCGTTCATTTTACTCAAATGATTTAGAAGAGAAATCCTTGAACAAAGGCAAATTTGAATATTTCAGTTACACTTTTCGATTACAGTAATCAAAGGATTTTGAATACAGTTCATACAACAAAATGATGCCCTTAGTTCGAATTATAATAGGAGATATGTTCCTGTATGTAAGCCCACCTTCAATTTGAAGTCGAAATGAATATTATCTAGTAACAAAAATGATGTTTTTTTGTCGAGTCAAAGTGATGAGTTCTTGCGTAAGACTAATTCACATCAACCAAAATCTCTAATGCTAGGTGATTGCATGGGGTTTCTACCACAATTACATGAAGTATCTCCTTCGAAGACGAATGTCTCAGGGTTTGGCGAGTTCAATTAGGCGATCATTTCGGTCGATTTTATTTTCTTTGAAACCCGTAGCATCTATCATTTCTAGAGGCCGACTTTTCATGGTTTTTTCCCTAGAAATCCAGCCTGTATATTTCCCTTTTTTTCTTCTGCCATCTATTATTCTCATTCTTGTCGATTCGAGAACTCTGTCGATGAGTTATCGTAGGTGTAATAGGGCACTGAAAATTAAGGCCTGCTTTCTGCAGGCTAACATTTCGTCGAATTTCCTGGCTACTGCGGCAGTACGGGCAGAACTGACCCGACATCCCTCCTCCCAACTTTGGAAAAACTTTCATTTTTTTTCACCAAGTAATGTTTCAAACTCAAAGGTGATCATGTTGCAGAGTGACGAATCAAATGATAATCATAATGACAGTGACGGCACTCAGGATGATAATGTGTCAACTGAGCCATGAGCAGCGTTGATTCCGAATCAGCCGCGAGTGTGCAACGATCAAAACTTAATGTAGAAACTCGACATTTATTAGCAACTAAATTCAACATGAATAATAGTTCGAACAAACAAACAAAATAAACAAAGTTCGAAACAAAATAAACAAGTTGTTTATTTGTCTCAACCTTTTTTCCATAAAGGTCAGCTATACCCATATAACTGGATGTTATCAGATAATTCACTATTGCCTGCGGATATTCGATATGATAACTCACTACTATCCATTTGAAAATAGGCAAAAAATAGCGTTTTTGGAAAAAATGTTTTTCTCATAACTTCTTTTGCGCAAAAGGTAGACACCTGCGGTTCTTGCCGTTGGATTTAGCATCCAAAATTGTACCAGAAAAATTGATTTTCATCGCATACTCCGCTAGTCAGTTTATTGGTGTGAGATGTTAGATGGATTTATGCTAAAACGAATTTGACTGCATCTAACGAAAATTTTTCCGCGCTACTGATGGAACAGGAATGTTTTGCATTCTTGGCTTGCTTACGACGATCCGTTTCCAAGTGTCATTCATCGATTTTTTTCGTTTATATAAAAATCTATAGATTTTGCAGTGAAGAGCTGCTTCTTTCGATATATATTAGTATTTTTCTAACTTTTCCACTTGAACTCATTACTTTTTTTAAATGTGCTTTAGAAGGCAAAACGCAGATCTCTCTGTCGTCCGGTTTCTGTTTGCCTTCCAAAGTGCCTTGCAAAAGAAAACTAGTGAGGACCAATTCTCTGAGACTTTGCATATCGTGGTCTACTTCAAAAATGACATTAACTCAAGATTTTTAAGAAAGAGTCCAAAACAGGCAATAGCGGTGTTAACAAACTGCTCGAATTTGTGCAGCAGCGGTTAATTGAAAGGCAGACAAAGGTGTCGTCATTTTTGAACACTAAATACAAAATTATCAATTGCCGTATGCAGCTTGTCCAAACGTTACGGCGTTATGCACTTTTTTTTGTCAAGCATTCTTAAAAAACTTTGATTTTTATAGACACACTAAACTACATGGTCCTAAATCTACGTGCAAAACATCAAGTGTTTGGCTTGTCGAAAAAGCTCAAGACCTATACGGCAAGCTGGAAATTGTGCAGCTATATACACACTGTACAGTGCGCTCAAACTCAAAATAAAATACGCCATTTTGTACAGAATCAAATTCTGAGCAAACCATATAATTAGAATGTTAATATTGTAAACATTTCTAGCTTTAATAGTTCAAAATCCCTTTTTCGCAAAGTTCAAAAACTAGTTTTGGTATCAAAAACCAATTTTTTCGAGAAACGACTTTCAAACAGGCTCTTAGAATTAGACAATACATCTTAAAATGTATTTGAAATTTTGAATATCAAAAAGTCGTGCTGAGAATACTTGATGAGCGAAGTGTATCGTTACGTGGACAAGCCGTATGAATGAGAGAAATTGGAGGATAACACTTAAGAAAGATTCCTAGTTAGTAAAAATTAAAAAAACTAGATCTTACTGTTGTTTTCTTCGGGCATTCTCGTCGTCATCTTGTTTGAACAATGTTTGTATCAAATGAGTAGTTCTGTATTAAATCAACTTTCGAAGGAATACTGTCACAGAAATCGCTTTGCTTCCTTTTTATATTGTGAATGAAAATTAATGAAATACGAAACTTATATTGTAAATCAGAAAAAAAGAAAGAATTACAAATATTTTTGTAAGGTTTTTTCCCTTTAATTATACGATCGCAAATATTTGTCATTGTGTTCTTTGACAGCGGGTAATTTTCCATGTACTGTTATTATTAGACAGAAATGAGTCAATTCTATGTAAAATTTCGTTTTTTGTAAGATTAAGTAACACAAAGTTAAAACAACAATTTTTGAAGAGGGACTTTTCAGTCAGACAAATCTTGAGCGGTGTCTTTGCAGTATATTTGTTTCCAACATAAATAAAAAATCAATCTGAATGAATCAGATTTGACTAGATTTACTTGTTTTATTAGAAAGCTCAAAGTATTTAAAAACTTTGTCAGTTTTTTGAAAAATTGGGAACAGGTAATGAAATTCTCACGCCCTCATTTCCAACCATGTCGACGAGGTTGCGGCATTTTTAACAATTAATCACGGTTCTTGAAAATCGCAAATTAATTGCGATTAATACGCGTTTTGCACGAGAAAACTATCTCCGAGCCCCACTACACTCTGAAGCTGTCCTCTGGTTTATAAGAATGTCTCGAGGCCCTCTTTCTTTTTGTCTCTAGAAAGTTTTCTCCAAAACCTCTGGAAGTAGGAATTCCAGAAAAACGTGGATTTTGGACTACATTAGTTGAATTAAAAGTGTTTTAAAAATCGCCGTTAGGTCATGGAACATTTTAAATAACATATTCAGATTCAGCGTCGAAAGGCGAACATTTTGAAAATTGAACTGAAATTTCAGTTTTCCAGTTTAATTTAAAATTTAAAAAGTTCAGCTGTTTTTAAAATGAATGGAGCTCGGCTAAAAGATGGAGATTCGTTTTAAGCGTGGTTGAATAGAGAATTAAAAGCTGAACAGATGTAGGGGTTTGGCGAGATTCCAATACTACATGCTCAAGGTTTTCTAGAAGACCTTCAGAAAACCTCCGTTTAATTTCACTTTAATTTTTCTAGTTTGGAAGTTAAAACTCTTCTGCCGAACTTTTTCGAAGCACTAATGACCAAAAATAATCGAAATAAAATATTTCAACACTAGCGATGATATTGGCTGCTATATGAACGATATTCACCTTCATATAGTCAATTGCTACATGTCATGATGAATGACAAGCCATGGTTAAGTAAAGGTGCCCTCTCTATACATACCGGAAAATCGACTAAGTAGGCTTTTTATCTTGAATGGCCTAACTCACGATTTTCTTGTAGAAATTGAATATATGAAGGTGAATATCATTCATATAGCAGCCAACATCATCGATCAACCTTATCTGAAAATCTGCAATTAATCGCGATTAAGCGCACGATTAATGGTATGATTTTTCAAGATTAATTGTCAATTTTTAGTACATGGGAACTGACAGTTTTTTAAATTATAGATGGAAAATAGAGAGCTTTTCAAGGGGCCGACACGCTGGTTACTTCAGTTTTTCTTGAGTACTGTCATAACACGGATACAGCCTTTCGCCTTGAACCTGTATCAGTATTCATGTGTATATTTACTCCTCGCTCGTCCGCACTTCCCAGACACACGGTGCTTGGTATTTCAACGAACGTACACATAGAGTAAAATCTCAGAATCCCAGGCATTCATATGTACACACATTTGTCGGTATAGATAGATTGATATGTGTATTAGCTTGGGTATATATAAATATCGATATATATATTTACTTCACGTATGCACATGCTCGTTAGTTGAATACGTTTAGGGTCCAGTCCGTATTGTTATATCATGACCTGCAGACTCACTAGATATAGTCTGTATCCGTATTATGACATCTCTGCTTTTCTTTCTCACGAACTTTTCTAAAACACACCTGTGTTTTAATTTAACTGCGTTTATTTTTTCTAGATTTTGGTACTTCTCACAATTTCTCATAGCGTTTTGCAACTTCGAATTTTGCAATAAAACAGTTGATACCTTTTTGTAAAGAATTCAACAAGGAATCTTTTGGTAAAAACATTAAAAGCGTAAAGAGAAGGAAAACATTTGAAAATACTAACAGTGCAATTCTTTCGCACCACCCGTTATATCGACATTATTAGCTTCTCATCGAAGTAATTTTCTTATAGTTCGTCTACATCTGGTTTCTTTTGATATTCAGTTATTTTATGTTATTTGATTTTAATCCGATCACTTTAGAAAAGCCTTACATACATTGGACAGAAGTATTAGTCATAATTACTGTCACAACTATGCTTGTTGAAGATGTGAGACTGGTATTTATCCACATCTGATTATTGATAACATATTTTTTTTAGGCTACATAATATTTTTATGTTTATACTAGTTTTGGGTTCAAGACAGCCTCCATTGGATAAACAGGATAAAGACACATTTTGATTTTAAGAATCGGGCTTGGAATTCAACGATTATCCTACCGGCCTACATTTTATTTTACGTTGGTTTGGTACTAAGAACAGTTGACGAGGATGTTAATACATTTTTCAGGGCAAGGTTGTAATCAGCTACTCGTCTGTTTTCTAGAATTTTTTCTCGTACATTGTATTGTTTATTTCTAGAATTCTACTAGGCTATGATCTGGAACTTTGGTTTATTCGATCTCTTTTATTTATTGGTGTAGCGCCAGAACTTGGACCAAAATTAGTAATGATACGAAAAATGGTTAGTGTAGATGTTGATTTTCTGTAGTGACTCATAGAAAATAAAAGTTTTATGTTTTCAGAGCGATGACTTACTGTTTTTCATATTTTTATTGCTTATCGCTATAAGTGCCTATGGTGTTACTTCTCATGCAATGAATTTATACGGTACATTTAACTTCGATGCACCAGAAATGTTCAAAAATATTATTTATTCAGTATATTGTTTCATATATGGCAGTTTTGATAATGAAAGAGCAGTCCCAGAAAGCATACAGAGCATTTTCGATTTGTTTAGATTTAATCAGTGACACAAACATAGTTTTTTGAGTTTGTAGTTCGTCCTGGCGCCTCAACATCAATTGCAACTCAAGTTCTGTTAGCTTTTCATATGTTGTTTGTTAACATTCTGTTAATTAACTTACTGGTTGCATTATTCAGGTACGCTTTCGTTTTCTTAAAGACGAAACAATATTTCAAACATTCTCTTTCTCTCTCTTTTTTAGTTTTACCATAAATAAAAACCGGTTTCAAAAATGATTCCAAACGAAGAAACACAAGTAGAAAATGATTGGTTAGAATTTGAAATATATTCAACTAATAATTATGTGCGAGAAATCTTCGGCTCAGCGCCGTCATCGTTCACTATTGTCTTTGACAAATTCAAGTAAGTCCTAGTGTTTGTGTTAGCTATCTGAATCATATAGTCAGACATAGTATGAAAACACTAAGAAACCAATTAAATTATTAATTCTAGACCAGACGCAATTGATATTCCTACGGATGATCAGACTAGAAAAATCAAATACTTTGAAGAATTATCTGATACGGATGAAACAGTGAAAATGGAAATTAATGATATCCGTACATGAATGGATCAATACAAAACTCATTTTGGATATGTATGATCATCTAGTCACCAAAAAATAGTGCATATATTTTCGGCGTTTTTCTTTTTATGAATTATTATCGATAAAAACAGTCTGCCCCGTTATTTTTCGAATAACTCGAGAACGATAAGGGATAGCGAGATTGGGTTTCCACCATTTTGTAGAGGAAACGTTACTCTATCGATACATATATGGAGACCTGAAAAATCCGAACTTTCGGAATGGTGCTTCTTATGGTTGAAAACTTATGAAATAGCTGCTGGTTGGCCTCTCACAGAGACCTCTATGTTTGAAATATATAAGAGATAGCCGAATGGTGCCCTCTACAATATTGAGCAAGGCCAAGCTCACCAGCTTGTTCAGTTCGGGAGCTATAAGCATTTTCCCGAGGGGCTCGAGTTGACCTTGGATGATCCCAAAATGAGCCAAAATAGGTCACGCTGAGTCGAGTGATAATATTTATTTTTAGTTTAGAGCCGATGTAAAGTCACTATATTAAGGCAATAATCATCATGTACAGTGGATATAATAACTCAGATGAGTTACCATTAAATGGTACCAACCTTCAGCAACAATCAGATAACTCTGATCACGTACAATAAAACTACCATAATTTTAATTCATTGTTCTCTATAGTATCTGGACTCTACTGCGTTGCTCTTGGGATAGCAACGAGTCGGAGGTGGACATCGGATAATGTGACACATACAGAAAAGATAACATCCTCATAATCAGAGCATAATTCTTGTTTATTGAAAGACATTTTGGTATATATTTCAGGCAGAGGTGTTTGTTATTTATACAATGTTTCTAGGAAATCTAGAACAAATTAAAATTACAATTATAAGAGACAAGCAACCTAACTGGTGTTTAGACCATGTAATAATCGAGGATACAATGCCAGAAAACGAAAAAACATACTAAAATAATTGCTTGAAAAATTTAGCCCGAAAAGTTCGCAAGAAGGACTACATTTTTTATTTTTGTTTTAGCCAATAAATATATATCAATACGTCTTATTAATTTTGAACACAATGAAACAACTTATGGAACTGAAATACAGGATTTTGCTGGAATGACATGGGACAAGTATTTGTAAATCGAATATAGAACTGCTATGAATAACATGACTTTCAGTCTTGAAAATACTTTATTCGAACTTTCGCCAGCTTTCAGTTGGCATCATCAGGTATAAATACTTATTTCCAACTGCTCTACCAACAAATTTCATAATTGACATGGGACAAGTTTTTAACAGTATTAAGAACATTTATAACTGTTGAACCTACTGAAATGGATATCGATGATGCATATAGTATTTTACATGAAGATAACAGTGCTAACCTTCTTGAAAATATCAATAAAATTTTACTTGTTATCAGGCAAGAGTATAAAAAGGTGGAATATAGACCTATTTCGCCTCACACCTTATCATATGAACATTTTCAAATATTAATAAAACGTGGCGGATTTTATTTGGCCAGCGCACATCGTTGACATCAATATCTGTTATGCTAAATTTAATAAAAAAAGAAAAAGCATCGTGAACTTCATTAATGCTGAAGGCCTCTTTTTGGTGACTTTTTGGAATTATTCAAATGAATCAAATTTTCCGTTGTGCGTAACGGGTGAGACCAAAATCTGTGCATGTTCCCCCATTTTTTAATATTTGAAAAACCATTTTGAAGTAAAAAAGACACCAATGAAACCCTTAAAAATCTTGGAGGAATAAGCTCCAAAATAGTCTGATTAAGATGATTGAATATATGAAAAAGTAATTTTTTTGTTTGGATATCCCAAGAGAAATCAGAATAAATAAAATCGAAAATTTTACGCATAAAGAAAAGGTAAAAAGATCAAACCTAAATTAGTGATATTTCCTTCACAGTCTATCATTTAAGTGTTCTTCTGTTATTGTTACGATATTGCTACGAGGACCGTTAACATTAAATTAATTAAGAGTTGTTCGAATGCCATGTAGTCGGAGTGGTGGCTCGAGGGACCGGCCAAAAAATTACGTCCGTATTCTATCTGGTATATGGTCAGTAGTGTCAAAATTTTAAATTGATCACACAGAGTAAATGGCGGGATGTAAAATGATTAAAATGTGACCATATGGAACCGGAAGAGTACCATTCTAAATACCTACCGGAGTTAACATTCCCAATGTCAGTATTGTGAGAAAATACAACTCACATCTTCTTCATCAAAGAGTAACATCGGTATTAACAATAGCCAGGACTTCATAACACTAAACATCTGAGTTTCAGCAAAGAACAGGAAACATTCCTTGATGGTCAAGGTGAAAACGAACTACGTCTTATTAATTCAAGTGGAAAACTGAAATAAACAGTAAAGGAAGCAGCAGGAGGTGGTGGTGATGATAAGCAATAGTAACGACAACAGCTTTAATCGGTGATAAATGTCTAGTTATAAAGAACGGCTCCGTTCTTTGTTTTATTATTTGCGAGCAAAACGAAAAGCGGACAAACAGCAGAAGAGACTACACTTAGATAGATAGATAGATAGACAGATACAGAGATTTATTTTACACAAAGGTAGGATATCCCATACAGCACCAGAAAGACTTGTGGCATCCGGAGACACCTCATGATAATCTAAACTAAAACGTTTCTAAGAAGAATCGTTACTAATCGCTATAACACATACATTATAAGAGAAAACATAAGTGTGACACATTTCCATATTCCTAACGTCTGTCAGGAAGTGGTTGAATTCTGAATGTTTTGAGCAAATAAGAAGAGGAACTATTAAAGGCTTGTGAGATAATTCTGCTAGCAAGACGCTGTATTTGTTCAGAATATTAAGGTGAGCGGTAAAGGTTTAATCATAGATAACGCAACTATATTTGAGCACTGGTCTTACACAAGTTTTATACAGATGGCAACTTAAAAACGAGGGCGAGTCTAGAAAAATTCTGAAAATCGAGCCCAGCATTTGCCGAGATTTTGTTGAAACATACTTAAAGTGAGATTTCCACGTTAAATTATGCAAGATAATAACAGCAAGTAGTTTGAGGGACGAAACACGGTTAATATTAATGCTTTTTATTGACAGGGTGAGCGATGGAAGTGTTTTTGTAGAGTTAGAAAATAAAATACATTGACATTTGTCTATGTTTAATTTTACCTCATTTATATCACACCAAAGCTCATCGATGCATTTTTGCCTTTCGAATATATTTGTGCCGCAAAAGACATCGTCATCAAAGAGACAAGAAAGAAGAGAAGATTTGAGCGACTGCGAAAGATCATTAATGAATATAAGAAATAAAATTAGGCTTAAAATACTGCCCTTTGATACACCAGACGTTACACAAACCGAAGAAGAGATAGATGAACTGTACGATTATAAAGATAAGAATAAATCATTTAAGAAGAATTCCTGATTACCGATTAACTTCTTCATTTTCTCTAAGTTCTGATAAATCTTATGGATAAGAAGAAGAATAGCGTCCGCAGTTGATGTACTAATAAGGTAGGATAACCAACTTAGAGCAGCCGAACCGAGGTTAGAAGGTTCAGAACCGCAAATTAGAACGAGTAAAGTTATATTGGTCTCATTTTTGCTGCGTTCCCAAAAAGCGCCGACCTATTAAATAAAACGTTATG